GATCGTTGTCGTGTAAAGCTAGCCCCAGACTCCTTACCTTGGCAGTGATGCCGTCGATCTGTTTGTTCTGCTTGTCTATCTCATTGCCCATGTCCATAGCCATCGTTTTCAGGTTGCCAATGATGCCGCCCACAGCATCCAGATTCTCCTCCATCTCATCCTCGCGTGCATCGTTGGTGATCCTGTACCACAGATGGAAAGTGTGTCAAGTGTGTTCGAATATCTCATTTGTGAATAGTAAAAAAAAAGACTGAATGTAATCTCTAAATTAAAAAGCCTATGACATCATTATGAAGAAAGATTCGTAAGGAAACAAAATGCCTAGGACCCCACCTCTTGATGTATGGGCCTGAGGGCGCCGGGGCGTTCGCCTGGGCAGCCTGGCCATTGCGGACACCTGAGGGCTGCCTTGAGACTACTGTTGAGCCATTGGAATCAATTTCGCCGTCACCTCCTCCAATACCCCAGGTACGCTTGTATTTTGAGTCGTGCTCGATTGACGACACCCTGGAGGAAAAAAACGTAAAGTCTTTACAAACCAGGAAATCCGGAAGTGTTTAAATAACAACAAGAAGACCGTTAACTTAAAAACATCCACATGGACCTCGATAAGAAGTGATTTATAAAGCTCCAAAATTGGCTACAGTCACAGATGTTGATAAGTTATAAGGAAGTTAATAAAGATTCCCTACCTTATCTTTTGGTAATCATCAAAGAATCCTCTGCTCCAATGTGAAAGCATTTTGGGGAGATTTTTATTCCATGTTTAGAACCAGATATGATCTTACTACGCACACACACTGACAATGCATGTCGATATGGTTTGATGGAGGGTTTTAAGTATGCTCAGCACAGAGCGGTTCACCTGTCATGTTGGTAGGAACACTGTCACATTCCTTACCCATTCATAAACCAGTGGGAATGCTCACAAACTCACCAATCTTTTGACTGTAAAATACATATTTGACATGCAAATTTTTATATTTTCTTCTTTTCATGTTACACTCAGCTATTTTGAGTGCACGCTGTGTTCATGTGAAAGCACCCTGACAGATCAGAGTTGTGTTATGGAAGTGTTTTTCCCAGTTTTCATTTCAAATTTTTTTCTTTTAAACAATATCTTCAATGTTACTTAATACAGAAACTCAGGACTCTCCTGGATAATATAACAATCCTGTATGGTGATGGAATGACAGCTAATTTGAATTTTTCTCTACTTTGTTTCTGAGAAATTTGATTTGCCTATGACTTTGGCACGGTGGACGGCTCAAAATACCCTTGAGCGTCAGCTTCTGTTGCTATGCAGAAGGAGCCAAGTAGAGGCGCGAATCAGAGTGGTAGACAATTCAAAACAAGTTGCTGCTGCAGTGGGGAACACGACGCCATAGTTGCTGTATTCATCCAAAATGGACCCAAAATCCAAACGTGAACTTATTTAGGCTACACACTGTGTTATTAGTTTCATCAGCACCATTATCTTTCACTTCTGACAACTTCAAGCAGCATTTTTAAGTCTTTTAATCCTAAATAATCCTTACTTTAAAAAAATAAAATAAACATATCAAAGTAAAATATGTTATCAATCAGAAATTTCAGTTGTTTCATCCTTTCCTGTTTGTTCTATACAGCTAATAGTGATTGCTGTAAAGTCCATTCACACATATAAACCAGCCACATACCTTCTCTATAAATAATTATGATACATAAAAGCACAGCACACAGAAAAAGTAGAGAGAAGCATGATGACACACAACAGTGATTTGGAGCCTTCAGCAGCTCGGGGTTGTACAGTGTACCTGTCACAGGGGCAGACACAGAGGCCGCAGCACTTGGAGAGGTCAGTCAGGTTTTTCTCAGCCTGTCTCATGTCCTGGTTGATCTGGTCCATGCCCTCATCCACACGCCTCAGCTGCTCTGAAACACAGGAGCACCACACCATGTCAGACTCTCCTTTTCTGTATCTAGGTATGTTTTATACACTGGGAATTTGTCTTATTGTTGACGTTGTTTTGTATATCCACTCTATCAATTTTTAGAACATATTAGATTACAAGGATTACATTAATGATCCCTGTGAGGATTCCTAAATTGGGTCAATAACTGGGTCATAGCAGCAGCAAAAATAATGGGATAAAGAAAACAAAAAACATCCTGCAGGTAGTACGACAAATAATTACAAATGCACATTTTTAAACAAGGAATGCATGTGTTAGACCATAGTTACGCATGAAGTTACAGGCAATAAACAATGAAACAAGATTTCAGCACAAATATAGACAAATAACTTATCCTGAGAAGAAACAATGAAGTTACACATTAATCTAGTGCACCAATATTTAAGGATGTACATTACAGAACTTACTACCAACAAACTGTGGCCAATACTGATGCACACTCAAACACAGATCTTTTTTCAATCTCATCACAATACCACTTCCCCTCAGGGAAGTGTTGCTGTTAGACTACAACTACGATGATTAGTGGATGTGTGTAAATACAGCTTTGTTAGCACCTATTCAGTTTTATGAGTTAATGCTTTACAAATCGTTGTCCTTGCAAACTTTCTATCGCAGGCACATTTTTGTGAGCTTCCCTTTGTGATCCTGACTGCTTCAGTGAAAATAAATAGTTTTCTGTAAATATCAAAACAGGAAATCTATTCTTTTCATTGTGGCACAATGACATCTGCAAATCTGATACACAAGGATGTGTATATCAGTGCATTTTATTATTTCTTCTTCTCAGTGTATAAAAATATATATGCATATTACGGTTTAAACTGGCAGTGTTCATGATGTATTATCTACCTCCTTGCTGGTCCAACATCACCATGGTGTTGACGCCGGTCTGTTTGCTCTGAAAACATAAGAGTCACACAAATTCAGGACCAATGAAAAGATTACAGACAGATTTATGTTTTATTAAAGAATGGACATAATCAGGGTTGGACACAATTAAGAATTAATTAGGATATTGGTTTTGTTCAGAATTTGAAAGCTAACTGATGCTAAGACAAATTCATACAAAAAAGTGTAATAATTAATAACTGAAGCAACAATTTTCTTTTAATGCTATGACTTTTCAAAATGACTCTTCTGTAATAATCTTTTAAAAAGAGAATATAAACTCAGAGTATCAAATCTTTTATTACATTAATGTTAAAATCTTCTTTCATCTAATGTCAAACAAAGACTACTTTATTATGATCAACTCGTAAGACTGGGCATTACATCGCAGAAATCATCATTCGCTGAGATGAAAATTTCCTAACCCTCATCCAGGCAGGGGCCCAATTATAAACCAGCATGGGACCGCTTTCCGGTCATCAAAACATGGCTGCGCGTAACACGATATTGTGATTTTGTGTCAGTAGCGGCAGCAAATCATTAAAGTCTCACCTCCTCTGACATCTGCAGCATCCTGCGTGTGCTTTCCAGTGACTGTGGAGGAAAAACAGGAAGTGTTAGTGGATAAAAAGAGGTGAGTTTCTTATGTGAAAGCAGCCTGCACATAGAATGAGGGGAAAAAAACACTAAAACAGAGAGACAAAGACTGATTTTGGAGTGCAGGGTTGATACAATTGTGTGTCCTTTCTTTAGGTGCCAACTACCCAAATGTAACCAAACAAGATCTTGCAAATAAAATGAATATGGACTGAATTTTAGTTACTTATACTTTATTAGTATTAAACCCAGACAGGGTTTTACATCTTTTTGGATCTGAGTTTATTTCAACAAAACAACAGACTGGTGTGAATGTGTCCTTAGAGACAGAAGAGAAGAGAACAGAACAGAACAACATAAGGGAATTAACGAGACAATGAGAAAAGAGAGCAAGATAAGAGGGATAAGGAAAATGGAAAGATACACAAGATAAAAAAAAAACATGGAGGAGGAAGTGCCACCATGAATGTTTATAAAGTTATGAAAGTAGATAGCAACAAATCTATAAAACCAGTTCTATGTCGGTGTAAAGATATAAGATCCTACCTTTGTATGTCCACACCTGGACATACAAAAACTGCTTCACATTCTCTATCTTCTCCCATCTTTTACATCAGTGTTTGAATTAGTCTTTCCCTGCAACCCCAGCCTGCCCTGTATACCTTGGTGATACATCAATACAACAGAAGACTAGATAGCGTATCTTTATATAATTATAAAATCATAATTTGGGTTCAATTGGTTTTCCTGGTCTTAGAGGTTGCAGTGCAGTTATGGAACAAACATTTCAGAGCTTATTAGGGCTGCGACTAATGATTATTTTAATTATCAATTAACCTACCAGTTATTTTCTTGATTCATTTTTATATTAGTCTATAAAATACAAAAAGATAGGCCATCTAAAGCCTGAGGGGATGTCTTCAAATTGCTTGTTTTGTCCAATTCAGTTTTCAAACAGATGGTCAATTTATCAACTGTCTAAATGAAGTCTGATTGGCAAATATTTTGATAATTGATGACTTATTTAAGTCATTTCTTGCAACACGATCAACGCCCAACATTCACTGTTTCCAGCTTCTCAAATGTGTTCTTTAGTCTTAATCTATTAAGATATATAGATAAATATTTCAATTTGAATATGTAAACCTGCTCTTTGGGAAATTGTCTTATTGTTGTTGACCAAACAATCAAAATCAGCAAAACAAGACAATAATTGATTAACAGAATATGAATCATTAACTATTCTAATAATAGATTGATTGTTTGAGTTTTTTGCTTTGTTAAGGATGGTTCCAGTCTTTCAATTGAGAGGATTTGCTTTTGTTTTTGTATTCGTTATGTGATAATAATCTGAATGCTTTGACATATTCTTTTATTTCAGCCCTAGATAGCACTCTAAATAAATAAACTGACTAACACCCTTCATACCAAAACCTTCTTAAAATTATAATGTGGTCTGGATAGCTGCAGGGGTTGTGTGTGTGTCACTGTGTCCTAACTCTCCATGATCAAGTGACATGGGTACGGCTGACACAAAAGTTAACACAGACACACATGCGCGCAAAGACACAAAAGTTGACGGCGAACTGGAATGCAGTCAGTTCAGGTGAGTTACGCCTTTGTGTCTCTATTAATAGCAAGTGCTGTACAGAGACCAGAGCATCCAAAAGAGTGACTCGGGGCATGACTCTGATTGTTACCAACACTAATGAACTGTTAACAAGAGAGAGAGCGGGGACCCGATTCCTCATTCTCCCTGTGTTACGTTTGCTCTGAATACATTAATCAGTGAGTTGAGCAAAAGACAAACTTGGCGAGAGGGGTGTGTTGAGCTCAGCCAGGTTTCTGTTGGCTTAGCCAGAACATCACTTGGGTGGATAAACATTACATTATGTCTCCTAAAATCCTTGAACTTGGCTAATTAAGCCCGAAATCGCTATCTTAGCCAATTTTTCCAGATTGGGTTGCTGTGACAAATGTTTGAGATGCAGACAATGGCATGGTATTTTTATCATTTGTTTGGGAAGGCTTAAATGGAAGTACAGTCAGGCGAGGTACGTGCTGGTTCCTGCAAACGACATGCGAGGCTTTTTAAAACACAGAAATTCAAGTGTTATTCTGTCACAAAAAGCATTAAAAAACACACTACGGGTATAAATAGGCTGCAATATACCAGGATGATTTTGTAGTAGCACACATATAATTCATTTAAATAACATTTGACGCAATGCTGACGAGTGTAGAAGCCATTTTTAATCACTAGATATAAACAGCCTCGATATTACAAAGACAGCTTGTGTTAGACGTCCTACAAACAATCCTTTCTTATTATAGCAAATTCGGATGTTGCCCTGATACATAACCAGCCATGCTCTGGCTTTGGGTAACTACTCATACCTGAAAGACTCAGAGTGATAAGTAGCATTAGCAGGGAGGACCCTCCCCTTCCCTGTCCCTTCTATGAGCTGCAAAGTCAACCAGGCAGCAGCAAAAAGAAGAGAGAGAGAGAAAAGTTAAGTGAGAAAGCATGCAGAGAGAGAGAAAAAACACACAGTTAAGGAAAAAGAAAAAAAGGACAATTAGTACAGTCAGAATTACAGGAAGGTATAGTGCACAGCTACAAGCCCAGCTAGAGTAAGTTCATTTGAATCCATTTGAATCAGATGGCTGATCATACGATGCCCCGGAGTGCTGATTAAACAATTATCTCCTTGATAATAAAACACTTAGATATAGCTGACAACATTCAAACTGTCAAAACCACAGAGGGGCGAGGGAGCTATCAGACTAAATTAGACATAAAGCGCACACTCTTTCTATTAATGCCTAGCTTAATAATCAACTGTGAATCCAACAAATATAATTACTCAGCCCCGGCGCTCAGTGCCTCACAATAACTTATAAAGCTTGATTATCTTCTATTTTGTTGTGCATGATTAAATCAAATATTTCAATAGTAATGCACTAATGAGGCTGCATGATGAAACTGAATATACATTAAATTATCTACATTGTTGTAGCTTGGAAGGTTTTGCCTCCAAGTGTTTGGACAAAAAAGGGTTATGTTTGGGAATTAAGCTTATTTGCTTTCTGCCTGGGAGTTACATGAGCAAATTGATCCCACTCTCACACGTGTGCTAAAAACTAAAGCCAGCATGTGATTAGCTTAGTTCTGTTTTTGTACAAACAGACATGTTAATTGACACATTTTAATTAGCGTGCTTTAGATGTGCTGGTATTTTTTTTTTTTTCACCTTTAAACCAAGCCAGGCTAGCTGTTACCCTCCATTTACAGTTTTTGTGCTTAGCCAACTGCCTCTAGTTTCATATTAGTGTACAGACATTAGAGTAGAATTTAATTTCCCATCTTACTCCTCCCAAAATGTCAAACTGCTCCTTTAAGACTTTATATTCACAGCTCCTGCAGCTTTGTATGGCTTCATTTAAATTTGAACAACTGCAGTTTTGCATCTGAAACAAATTCATTGTCCTGATTGCTTGTTTGTGGATAATTAGCATGTCTGTTTTAGTCCTCTGGTCATAAATGAAAGGGACACTCTACCCAAAACCTCCCTTTTTAGTATCAAAGACTCATTCCCTGCAGGCTTGAGAGATGTCTGTTAAAAGTTGGCAGTTTCATCGTCCACAGAGAATAACAGCTGTGCTCAGCTTAAATTTAAATGGTGATACGTTTTAACAGTAGCACTAAAGCTGGGTAGAACTATGTTTAAGGGGTATGTCATTACTAAATCATTTTCAAGGACGTTTCCTTGATGTAATTTTGTACTAATTATTGCTAAAATTAAGAAAGAAAATTATTATCAATTTATTATATATTTTGAAGTGCGAACTTAAGTCACCATACACATTGAATTGTTTGCTTCCCTGTAGACAAATTTCACACATTTGGATGTTACACTCACATTGTGTGCACTGACTAAGACCCTCTGGGTTATGCTAGCAACTAATTGGAATTCATTAACTGGATGTGTATCAGTTAGTAGCAAAATATGTCATTCTTTCTAGGAAATGACAGCGAGAATTATTAGGAAATGATTCGTTTTTTTTATCTTACTGACCCGTAAGATAAAGTGTTACCGAAAAGGATCAAAACACAGAAACTTCTCAAAACTCTCCTGCAAACATTATTCACGTCCCCATTGTTCATCTGTATGCTCAGTATGCCCCCAACACTGATAGTTTCACCAAGGCTTCTATCTGTAAGCTTGCACAGTTCTGGCATTTCATAATAAAATATTTTGGGTAGAATATCACCTCAAGGAAGTTTCAGACTCACTCAGACAATGAGAGAATGAGGGAGAGAGGGATTCTTTGTCTGTGTATTATGTGTGTGTGTGTGTTGTGTGTGTGGTTGTGTGTGTGTGTGTGTGTGACTCAGTACCTCGTCGGTCACTTGGTTGGCCCTCATGGTCATCTGTTCCACACTCATGTCTTCCATGTTGCTGCTGTCCTGTTTGGAGGCTCCCCCTGCGGCACCGAGCTCGATATTCTGCGGCCTGGAAGAGGGGAAGATTTCAAAAGGTCACTCACTGACGTCACATCAGAGGGCGGCAATTATCATAAACCTCTGTGACTCAAACTAATCTGAGACCATAGCTTTACTGTGAGCTACTAAAACATATTTTATCACCATACAAGAGTGAGAGTGAAGTATATTAAGTTTAAGGGAGAATACAGCATCATATTGATGCCAATTACTGATGAAACAGGTCGTTGAATAACCAATTAGCTGACAGTGTCTATTATAGCATGACGGATGCTGTATTTTCAAGACCAAAACTGAATACTTAATATATCAAAACTTGCAATTTTTATATATAAATACAACACACAAACAAACATGTTTGATAAAATTGTGAAAAAACAAACTCACTCGAGACTTCTCTAGTCGATTAACTGTGTAATAGAGACAGGGTTACCAAATTACCTCCAACCCACTGTATCTTGGACATTCCTGTACAGCAATTTACAGATTCAGAAATGTGAGGTTTCTTTGATTTTCTCTGTCTCAAATAATGATAAATGTAATATTTTTATTTGACTGCTGGTCGGACGAAATAAGCAATTAGGCTCTTAGAAATTATGATGGGATTTTGTAAAAATGTATTACTTTTTTTTTTTTTTTTACACTATACCGATTAATCCTGAACTTAATGTCATTGTTTTCAGTAAAATAATCAGTAAGCCTAATTCAAATTCCCTCATTTAAATTATAGGTGCATCAGGGTTTAGTGTCTCAATGCCTCATGCTACAGCACATCATTATGCAACACCACTAGTCAGGCCTCTGAGCTGTAGACTATTGCTTCAGTGTGCAATCTTAAATATGGAGAACACATTTAGGGACCTAACATTTGACTACATGAGAGCATCAATGTATGTTCATGTCACCCATATGGAGAGGGAAGAAGGAGATGCAAAACCTAAACAAATCAGGCTCTTTTCCTGCCCCTGAAGGAGTGTTCGGAGGCTGAACACATGCTGATAAAAGAAACCAAAATCTATTTCAACAATGGCTCAAAACGATCTTTTGGTGAGCCTAGAGCAGTTCCCTGTTAGTGTAAAGCTCAGCTGCAGTGTGGCTAGCAGAATGTATGCGAACGATGAGGAAACAGAGATAAGGAGTCTGTGATAGGAAAATCCGAATCATGAGCTCGGATGAACTGGCACAAGTACGCAAAACATTACAATGGTTTACTACTTGATTTAAAGTCAGTACAAATTCGACAAATTAAAAATAAACAGATCAGTGAAATGATAAAAGTTAAAACAAGTTTATAAAAATAACACAAGATACAACTGTTTTACATGTGTACATTACTGTGTTATAAGTTATATAAAAAAGGTAGGTATTTTAAAAGAAGTTGTCTTTTAGTTGTGTTCACAGATAATATGGACAATTTCAAAAATAGCTTGAACTTCAGTTTGTGTGTTTTTGGTTTTAAAATGCAGCATCACAGTTTAATGACACACACGTATGAATTTAATACTTTAAAACTACTTTACTTACTGAAATGAACAGTTAATGGCTCTACTTATCACACCACTCACATTATAGATTATGTTCTTCTTTTCTCTCCAGTTTCTACGTCTCATGCCATAATCATATATCTTATACAATAATATTATAGGATAGCTTATCATGGAACCAAATATAACCGAATGGGATTATTAAGCAACCACAATGATACAGCCTACGTGATCGCCGTCACTCGTATCTTTATGGACTGCATCCAGGGATTGTCTTACAGCGGGGGTGATACACAACACCTACTTAATTGGCTGAGAGCATGGTAGAGGGTTTGCAAATACACTGCTGCTATAAAAAGGTTAAATTTGATGCATTAAAATG